GCTCCCTGAAGTCATCCTGGGAGGCCTGCCTGAGATGAGGAGGAGACTTGCTTCTTAGGGAGAAGGGTGGGCTGGCAATGGGCAGGAAGTGGAGTCGCCCCGCCCTGGGATGCAGGCTCCAGAGTGCTGGGGGAAGTTACCCCACGGATACCAGAGGCAGTGACAGGGGCACTGAGCCTCAGGTGCAGTGGGTTGCAAAATAGGTGAGGCCTAAGTTTCAGGCGTCTACACAGCATTTGTAAGTGTTGGCCAAGAAGCAATTTCACCAAGGCAGGGGGTACAGTAACATGAGCAAATGGCTGCCAAAATTAACTAAGTTCTCTTATTGTTTCTCAAATCTGGGGAAAGAAAAGTCCAGGATCATTAAAAACACAAAATGGAAAGGGGCAGGCTCAGGTGACATTTAATAAGCCTGGCTGTGCGACAGCCAGGTGACAGCGATGGCCGGGACGCGCCCGTGAAGGCACCTGTACCAGGTAAGGTAAGCCTTACCTTGAGTGGTTCTGCAGCAGGGGGTATGGAGCTAAAAGTCCATTTTAGGATGTTTTAGGACTGTGAAATATGACTTTAATAAATGAATACATAAGCCATCAGGGTCCCAGACCCGGCACTGCTGAAAACCAAAATTGTATTTAGTCCACAGACATCTTCACGAAGGACCCGCACTTGGCCTGATCTTAAAATCTAGTGATTTTGAAAATTCTTGCTGCAAATGTCTTGGAGCCTCCTGGTGGGCCCCTTTTCTCCGCTCCAGATGTCTGCGTGGGAGGGCAGCCCTGAGCGGACAGCGAGTCTGTGCGTGTGGCCCTAAGACTGTGCATTAGTGACGGGGTGGTTGTGCACACACACATACACACTCACTCACACACAACAGATCGGATCTTTCCTAAACTGCCGCTCTCAGCGCTGAAGGGCTTCCTCACCACACAGCTCTGAGCCGCAGAAGTGCAGTCCCCTGGAAGGGCACTGCAGTGGTCAGCAGCTTGGAAATCCCAGAGAATTCTCCCAGATGAAGCTGCTGATGACAGGAAGGCTCAACAACGGGACATTTCTTTCAACGCTCCTTCTTTCCCCTCCCTTCTCTTCAGCCATTGCTGCACCTGACATGACCTTACACAGTAGCTGTTGACCTACACGCTGCCCCATTAACCCACAGCCCTGCTCCCTACACCGATCACCCTGCACATTTTACAAAGAAGAGAACTGGGGTGCACAATTATAACAGGATGTACCCAACATTATGCCGCTAGAGCAGAGTCCTCAGAATGGGCTTTTCTCCCTACGGGGGTGGCGGGTAAACTTGGAGCCAGAGGACTTAGATAGGATTGAGGGGCCCTCACTGACTAATAATAGCCTCTACTCTGGAACCAAGGACATTATGCTATTATGACAGGGAGGTACTCGCAGATAAACAGAGACAAGATGCTTACCACCAGTGGGGACCCAGACAGGCCTAGCTCCTTCGTTCCCCCTCTGTACCCCATCAAAGATGGCCTCTCCCTCTCCTGAGACCCTTTTCCTGCTCATTATAGTGCCAGCAGGGCCCATCTGGACCCACTTACATCAGACCCCAAGTCAGAGGCTCTTATGGAACCCTGTGGTCTCACAGGAGACATCCATGGACTTACAGAGACTGATTTTATACTAGTGATGCAGAGGGAAGGCCCTGGGACCAGGAGTTGGGGTCCGCTTTGCCAAGGCTGGCTGTGTTTTGGTCATCACCATCCACGCCTGGACCTCAGCTCTGTCACCTTTATCAGGACTCAACAACCGAACCCAGTGCCTCGGCCTGTTTTTGTAGTTTCCAGGGAGCCCAGCCCCATCCATTCCCTACCAGACTGCCTCTGGGGTGGGCACCATCGCTCCCAGCGGAGGCTGAACTGAAGGCCATGTGAGGGTCTGCCGTCGGGCGTTAGGGTGGCCACTGACCTCGCCTCCCTCAGGCTGGTCCATCTTCTGCTTCTGGCTAGAGAAAGTTCTCCAAAATGCTGGAATTATGATGGCACCTGCACAACCATCCCAGGCCAGGCAGGCTCATGGTTGATCCAGGCAGACAGAAAGAGCTGTGGAGCCTTCCGGACCTCTAATCTGCCCTGAGTGCTGGCGCAGGGAACTGCACACACCAGCAGACAGCAGGCAGGGAGTGGCAGCTGAGTCCCAGCCCTGCCATCTCCCCTTGTCCCCCAGCACCTCAGCCCAGGCGTCCACATTCACACAGGCCGCACCCCACGCTCCCTGGCGTCTCTGCCTGGGCGTCAGTAATCATCATCCCTGCGCTGCCCCGTGGTGCTCACGCTCTCAGGGCTCTTTGCATTAGCACAGTATCACCTGCAGGTAATACTGTAACAGGGTGGTCCTCAGGAAAAAGGGAAGTTCCAGGTTCCCTGCCCCACCCAGGGGCTGGAGGGTGGAGCTGAGCAGAGAAAAAGGAGAAGAAGAGAAGGAAGTTGGAAGGAGAGCCAGAAGGAGACCTGAGGAAGCCACACAGAGCAGCAAGCATGTGATGAAGAAACGGGGCTTGTTTCCTGACCCTGGACTGGCTAAGGCAGATGTGGGTGAGAGACCTGTAGGGAGGTGACTATGGCGGTGTTTTATTGATTTTGATTTTGCTCTTTTCCTCCCAGCCTTGTCTGGCCATTTCTGACCCTTTTCCATGGGGCCCGGCCAGAAGGTGCTTTAGGCTTGTGGCAGCTTTCAGGCCTTGCTTGGGCCAGTCCCTTTTGGGTTGACTTTTGCCCACATGGGGATGGGTCACTTCAGGTGTTTGATTTAGGAGTTATATTCTTTGTGTTCTGTATTTTATATTCACTGTATTAAAGTCCCTTTTCATTAAAGTTTTATATATGTTTTGTCTTCTTGCGGCGGATGGCAGAACCCACTTAGAGCAGGCAGGATTTTGGGGCTTCAGGAGTGTCCCTCTCCCCCTGTTCTGGAACAGATTTGGGGTGCCCTATAACAGATTTGGTGCCCCACGTTGGGAGGAAAAGAGCAACATCAAAATCAATATAAACACTGCCATAGTCACCTCCCTGCAGGTCTCTCACCCACATCTGCCTTAACCAGTTCAGGGCCAGGAAACAAGCCCGGTTTCTTCATCACATGCTTGCTGCTCCATGTGGCTTCCTCAGGTCTCCTTCTGGCTCTCATTCCAGCTTCCTTCTCTTCTTTTCCTTTTTCTCTGTTCAGCTCCACCCTCCTGCCCCTAGGTGGGGCAGGGAACCTGGAACTTCCCTTTTTCCTGAGGACCACCCTGTTACAATACCACCTGGAGACCAAAGCGAGGTGGTGGCGTGGAGGCTGGCGGCTGGAGGCAAAGAGTCTGAGGAGCGCCAAGGTCCCTGCAGACACTCTCTCACTTAAGACCTTCAATAGTAGCGCCGGGATTACTTGAGAACAGGCACCCAGGGTCTTACGGGGAGTAAGAAAAATGTTGCGAACTTGGACAATTCAGATTCATACAAACAAAAAACAGTTGTAAACCAGAGAGACCCTACAGGGGAGGGGGGCAGAGAGGGATCAGAAGGAGGGAGGAATGGGGGGGAGGGACTGTGGTGACTAGGAGGGCCGGGGGAAGTAAACATTGTTTTCAAATGAACAATAATGTACATAATGTAAATAGATCTATAAATAAAATTTAAAAAAGAAATGGGCAGAGTATGAACAGGTCGTTTTTCAGGAGAATATAATGTCCAAAATGATATCAAAAATGCTTATCTTCACTAAATTAATAAAAAGCCCCACCAAAAATAAAACAAAATAAAAACCACTTCAAAGGGCAGGTCTCAGGACTGGCCGAGGCACACCTTCATGCCTTTGTTTAAAAACAAAGCAACTTCCTCCAGCCCCAGGCCCAGGTGACCAGGAACTGATCCCTGGGCGCCTCTAGGCTCAGCCTGCTCAGTGTGGGGATGCTGAGGAGAAAAGCAGAGGAGGGGACAGGCTTAGACACCGTAGGCCTTTCGCCACTGCTGTGACGTTTTTACTGCGGTTTATAAAAACATGGGCTCTCGGTGAGCCTGGGCAGCCGCGGGGACAGGCCCCCATCTTTGGTTCGAGTAGCACTGCTCCAGATCAGGGGGCGAACAGTCTCCTTCGTCGACAGTCAAAGCCTCCCATGAGCCACTCGCCCTGCTGGCTTCATTCCCACTGCATTTTCCTTCGGCCAGTTTGGTGGCCACACTCTGCCAAAATCTCGCTCACTGGCCCACCAACAGGCGCCACTCCTGACAGCTCACGGCCCTCGCTTCCTTTCTGCATAACTCTTCATTCACCCCGAGGGATTCAGTCAAAGGCCCTCTCCTCTGAGAAGTCATCTTCCTCTTCACCCCAAATACCCACTTCCCCAGGAGTGATCTCTGACTCTGAGCCTCAAAATGGGGTAGTAATAGTGCCTCCCTCAGCAGGTGGTTATAAGCTATTATTTTATAAAAAGTTGCAAAGTCTATTTCGTCCAGCACCCCAAGAAGCCCACACTTTTGCCCTTCCGTTGCAACTGCTTATTCCCACATCTACCTCCCGCTCCAGTTCATAAACTCCAGCGAGAGAGGAGCCGTGTTGGCCTCTGCAGGGCCTGGCCAGGAGGAGAAACTCAGTAAACCTGAGTTTTCTTTTCTTTTCTTTTTTTTAAGATTTATTTATTTGTACATACAGAACTGGGGTACAGGCCAGAGGCTCAGGGGCGGTGAGAGGCCTCACCAGAGACAAAGCGGGGAGTAACACAGGCAGATCAACGAAGCTCACCACTGAGGGGAGCAGCGGGCGGGTCAGGAGAGGTCTGCCACGCCATGTGGTCACCTCCGGGGCAGGCGGGATCGAACTCATGCCGAAGTGGCTTTGGCTTCTCAGTGCTGCGCTTTAACCAGCTGCCACCAGGGAGGGCCAAACCTGAGTTTTAATAGTGCACGAGTGAAGTCTTTCCCCAACCAAACAACAACTAGGCAAAGAAAGAGGGAGATATATCTGTCATTACTTAAAAAATCAAACCATGTAACTTGCCGTACCTGGTAGAAATGTGGCCAGAAGGTGCTGATGGCAAGCTCTGCCTTCACCCAGCCCTCGGTGACGACCCCTGACACGTTCCAGACGGGGTTCCCTTGGGGTCCGCCATTCACCTTGACGTACACGTTCAAGGCCCCGGGGCTGGACCTGTCGCGGCTGGAGAAGTAGTAATGGAAATCGATGCAGTGGGTGTCATTCTCCTTCAGAGTTGGCAGGAGGAGGTGGGCCTTCTGGCCAGAGGCCCTTCCAGAGCTGTTCACCATCATGAAGGACCCTGGAGACCCACAAAGGGGGCGGGAGGTGGAGACAAGGAGAGAGAAAGAAAAGCGTTCTGAAAATCAATCCTACCCTCACGCATGGTGGCCGAAAATCATGTCAGTCCAGAGGGTCTGGCTGATCCTGCGGAAGCCACACATTTTTTTTTTCAACCTGAGCTCCTCTCGTCATAAAAAAAAAAGTCTACTCAAGCAGGTGGTTTTCAGAATTAAGCGGTGGTTAAGGCACATGAAGGGTTTCCACAAAATAGACAGTTTATAAACATTTACAGAAGAAACATTGCATTCCGCAGCTACCGAAGGAAACGTGGAACTAAAAACCCAGAAACACAGCTAACTGCCACCTCTGTGGGTGAAGTGGACAGAAGTACAACCTCATGCCAGCACAGGCTGTGCATTGAGACAATGGGTGCAGAGGAGAGGTGACGTTCCCACACACGCCACCCGGACCTCTCTCTTCTGTACAGGGGTTCTGTGCAGGAAGACAGCTCAAAAGCAGAACGTCTTCAAGGAAGCAAGAATGACCATAAAGCAGCATGAGAGCCAACTGGAGCATAATCAGCATAGACCAGCATTCAGCCTGAACACTCATGGAGAACCAGTATTTTATTTATATATTACTCAATTTAATCTTCAAAACAAACCTGCACACAGGGTTTTATTTCATTGAAAGATTGACTGTTTTCCCTACCACTCAGACAGGGAGGTGTGAGGCCCAGTTGCTCTCCAACCTTAAAGTTTTGCTATTATTGATCTTTGCAGAAAACATAACTTATTTTCAAGCATTAAAAGCATTGTCCCTACGTAGGTAGTGACCCTCTCTGGCAGTGCACCGGCAGGTGAAATGACTGTCTGTAGCTCTTCACCCCTGGATCCATGCCCTTGGCCTTTTATCATGAGGATCTGGACATCTGTGGAGGGTCAGATACATTGTTCATCCCAGATAATGACCCTGAGAGAGGCTGAGAAACCCACTCAGCAACCACAGATATGTACTGTGGAGAGGCCAGGGGCCCTGGGGTCTAAGTGCTCTTATGTGAGTGCAGACGCTTCCTCATCATAGTAGGTCTTGTCATCACCACAGTCTCAGAAGAGAATGGAACCGTGAAGGGCCAAGTGTGAGGCATCATTTGTTTCCCCCCAAAACAAAAGCAGAATTCGTGGGGGGTTGATCATGAGGAGGTGTCGCTCTCATCCGTGGGAACTCAGCAGGAGGCTCGGCCCACATAACCAACAGGGTCACACTTGCTCCTCAGGTACCACCCTGACCTGGGCTGCCCTCAGGCTGACACGCGGGAATAGAAATGCACCTTGTGCTTTGGCCACCCAACAGCTGCACTCCCTTTTAGGTTTGGGGAAAACCCCACTTTTACAGCAGAGCTCCAGCTCTCCGTTCACTTGTCACCCTAACTCGTGGACTTCCTGCTCTGTCCATGGCTCTGCAGTCACATCCCCACGGCAGGATCTTCCATCCATAGAACGCACCTAAGTAATCTCATTGCTAACTGTACAGGACCCATTTTTTTCCCTCCCCCCAGTGTGCCCAGGAATAGCATCCATCACAGCAGGTTGGCCTAGATCAGCAGGGAGAAATAGATGCTTGGACTCAGCAGAGCCTCCCCTCTTTCCCAGTCAGGATCCCATCCAAGCCTGGTGATCATTTAGGAGGGCGTTTCAATCACCAGGAAGAGCACATGAGAAGGCTCTGGCAGGAAGCTGCCACACCCAGCAACGCCAAGGTAGAATCTCAGGAAAGGGGTGAGCCAGCTCGACCCCACCGCCCAGAGATCTGGCCACATCCTCCACACAGAAAGGCAGCATGTCTCTGAGTGACGCATGGGCCTGTCATTTTAAAGATTGTTCAGGCATGGAAGTTCTCATATAGCTGCAGCTCAGTGGGGGGCCGTCTTTGATCAACAGGTTGGCTTAATTAATACCATCCCGGGGGCTGACAGTTTGCTGGAGATCAATAACAAGCTGGTCATTATGCCAAGATCAGGTAGAAACAGGAAGGTACAAGACTGTAAATACATTATTTTTCCTTCTCCTTCCCCCACCCCAAACTCCACTAATGTGATAAGGAGCTTAAAGCAGCATTAGTTTCCTCATAGTTATTATACATCGCGCCAAAAATTGTGGAATTAAGCCAGGAAGCACTCTCTGGCTGGCCATAAATTCTGCAGTTTCCCCTCTGTGCATAATAACGCCTCGATAAGCGCCCTGGTATTGATGTGTCTGCAACATAGATCCCTTTCTAGGAGGCGAAACACTTCTCTGTAGCAGATGGTGGCTATTGTGTTTACACATGAGCACCTCAGGACTGCGTTTCCTCACGTCGTCGGCAGTAAAAAGAAAGCCCTAATTGAGTTTTTAATGGCTTTGCACATTGTTCATTAAGATTACATGAGTGTGTGGGGTGTCTGGCAGCTGGGGGCCCAGGGCACCCCAGTGCTCAGGGCTGTCCCTGCAGACAGGTGGCCCACGCCGATGTGAGGGAAGAGCAGCGGCCGGACCCAAGTGTCACCTGAAGCCGGGACAGCTGGGTGGCCTGGAACAAGCCCTGGATTCGCAGTCATGAAAAGTGAGTTTCTGTTCCACTTGGGTTATTTCTTAGCTGTGCAACTTTGAACAAGGCAGTAAAACTTCCTGGGCCTCACCGTGCTCACCTCCAAAATGGGATGATGAAAACTACACATCAAAGTTGTGTGTGGGTGTGTTTTCAGTGAATGTTCAATGGCAAACTGGAACTGACGTGATAAATATTAATTTCACAATAAATAGCCTGCACCAGATGACAGATGGGCCCAATGAATTTAAAACATGCTTAAGGTTATTAGTGTTTACTGAGAATTTAGTATATGTCAGGCACTGAGCTAAGCATTGCTTAGCATCTCAAAGAGGCACGGCCAGGCTCTCTCCCTTCTTTAAAGCGAGGAGCATGGAGGAAGTTTGCCCATGCCACAACTGGCAGAACATGGTAAATACTTAACCAGTCACCCTTGTTTCATAACAGAGTCTTTGGTTACTAAAATTACACCCTTCAGTCCAGTAGAAATACACAGCCACATGTGCCTATTTAAATTTAAATTAAGAGTGAAAAAAAAAAAGATTTGCTCACACACACTAATTACATTTCAAGTACTCAGCAGACACACTGGTTAATGGCTGCCATATTGGATAGTGCTGACAGAAAACACTTCCACCATCACAGAAAATCCTAGCGGGCTAGCACTGGCCCAGAGCTGTGAATTATTCATCAAAGCGTAATGGACTATATCAAGTTGAGACCCAGGACTTTAACTAAGCCAAATTACTCATTTCACCAACTCTAGTGGCGGGAGCAATTTGCCCAAGGTCACAAACTATATTAAAGATGTAGGCTCAGGTTTCCTGCACCCTGCTTCATTTTCCAAGTGGCCCTTCCTTAACTGAGTTGTCCAGTCACTGGAGTGGTTCTCTAGGGAGTTGTTCCGGCGTGGGGAACACATAGTTGCCACAGGAGCCAGGGAGACCTTAAGCATCCCAATGCCAGCTGGATTTAGGGTAAGTGAGCCCTTGGGGGCATTCACGCCCTCAGTTCTGAAAATGCAGTTCAGCAGTGATCCGTACAGCCCCCAAACTGGTGTACAGGGGAGTAAGAACATATCTAACAAGGGAGCCTGGCTTTACCAGACCTGGAATGGAATCAAGTTGTAAGCCTCATTTTACTCATTAATAAAAATGGCCAAAAAGAGACTTCTCATCTTATATGGAAGTCAAGGAATGAAATGAAAGATGGTTATACAGTGTCTAATAAGGACTGACCCATGGCGAGGTGTTAAAAAAAAAAAAAACAGCTTCTTTCTATCTGTCCCACTTCCCCCCCTCCCCCCACCCCACAATGTTCTCAACATGGTGGGGAGACTGGAGAAGAAGAAAGAAAGGATTCCACTGGCAACAATAAAATATGCTGTCCCAGGGCCCTCCCTGGTGGTGCAGCGGGTTAGGACGCAACACTGCAAACCAGTCACAGTGGCTTCAGTGTGAGTTTGATCCCCGGTCACGGAGGTGATCCACATGGCGTGGCAGGCCTCTCCTGACCCGCCTGCTGCTCCCCTCAGCAGTATACTTTGCCAGTCTGCCTGTTCTGCTTCCCACTCCATCTCTGGTGAATCCTCTCACCACGCCTGCACCTCTGGCCTATATCCCAGTTCTATATGCATAAATAAATAAGTCTTTAAAAAAAAATGTGCTGTTCCATTCCCACATATACAGGCTCATGTGTTGAGATTATCTTCTTGCTCTCAGCCCCATGGGCAATTACCTACATCAGGCCCATGGCGTTGTCATGCATTTTCTGTCTGTTGCTTCACCTTTTGCAACAACTTCATAGCCAGCCTCGTCCTTGATGTGTTTATCATCTGACAGAATAGCGGTGTCATCTTTTGGGGAGGGAGTATATCTATACAAGGGACTATTCAGTGGTGGAGAAATGAAATCTTGCCAGTGGGCAACCACATGGATAGAGCTAGAGGGGATTAGGCTGTGGGAAGTGAGTAAGGAGAAAGACAAATGCCAGGTGACTTCCTCATGTGGAATACAGAGAAACAACACAGAAGGAAAAACCTCAACCAACCAAATCTTGTACAATTGCTGCAGAACTGACGCTCTGGAGGGGGAGGATGGGAACAATAGGGACATGGCCCAGTGGTCGATGGTGGAGGACTGTGGGTACTTTGATGGTGACAGTGATGTGGTTAACATAGATCTGACAAGGCGTGGACCTGTTCCTCTAAAGTATTGACAGTATGCTACCTCAATAAAAATAAATAAATACAATCATAGGTTCTACTTTTAACATATGTAAATGTATTTTAAAATGCAAAATATAAAAAATGTATAAGTATGTAAAAAAATACCATCTTCTTGGGATGTGAAATAAGCCATGACATGTCCTGAACACCCTATAAAGTCTTCCTTTATAAGAAACTCTGTGTCCTATGGATGCCATGTTTTTTCC